TTCTGAATGTGAAGGTATTTAATGTGTCACCTCTTTAAAAACCAACACTTGAGGATTTCGAGCATACCTTTTCTAAAAGTTCTTGGTTCCTCTTAATGAAAAGTTGTTTATCTTCTACCCAGTGAGAGTCCTGTTTGATAAAGTAACAATGATAAATAAGAATCAAGTGACTATTTCAATATTTAGCCTACTAATTGTGTAATTCAGCATGATTGTTAAAACAAGCCACAAGTGCTTAGTTTAGATACTGTAGTAAAATGTTCTATAGCAATTGTATTTCACAGCAATATGATAGTCTATTATTTAGCAGCAACACTGTTGAATCCACTGGGCTTTTTCATTAGAAGCTGATACCTCCCTGAAAGTCTATATTGAAATAATGTCCATTATGCAGTCAGGGACAGTGTTTTTAGTGACTGTGCATCCTCTTAGTGGGTTGTAAAATGGGATCCTGATTACTTGTGTTTGCTCTGGTACAGTTCACAGGGATATAGGTATTAACCTAACTGTCTGTCCAAGTTCTCATTGCGGTTTCGATTTTTTTCAATGTTCTTCATGCCGTCCTAAATTGTTCCATACTGAAAACTAGGACGCATGTGACACACTAGACTCATTTATAATGTGGCGGAAGTGATGCACGCCATACCTGCACTCTACAAGAATTTTTAGCTAAACTGTAACTGAGCTTTGTAAAGATCTGAAAATTAAGGGCCAGATTCTGATCTGTTACATCAGTGTAAACTCAGCTTAACGCCACTGACTTCAATGAAATGAGATACTACCAGCATAAAACCAGGCTTAAAATTGTAGAAATGCAACATATTGTTACTACAAAGTGTCCCCTTCTCTGTGTGACAAGAAGAGGGTGCAAGTCCTTTGACTTACTTTCTGAGTGACTACTACGAACTACTGCTACTAAAAATTCAATAGTCTCTCTTGAATGGACAACTGTGCTCAAATCCCACTGTATGTACCAGAAACTCTAGACCTACCCATTCTGCCTCAGTACAATTCAGTGATCACTGGTTATGTTAGTGTCCAGAATAGCTACAAAATTCTTGATGCGAATATGACAGCCTAACAGGAACACTGATGGCCCAGCTTCATGAATATGCAGCAGCAGAGATTAGCTACAACAATAGCAGAAGTTCATGCCCAGTGCAAAATATATACCTGTCCTTTCTGTGCCAGTGTTTTTTCCAGATCTTCAATTTTAGCTTTATACCTCTGGACTTCTGCCTGGAGCTGCTCCTGTGCCTATTAAAATCAGTTACATCATTACACAGTAGAAAGAAGAAATGTCTTTAGGGGATTTTCAATGATGAGAAACTGGACACAGGAGATAGCCTAGTCCTATGTCATTATTTACACCCATAAGACATGTAAAAACATTGCTGTGTTAACTTAGTTGCATGTTATGCCCTTTTGCATTTGTTTGGCATTGCCATGAATGATGTCACAAGAGCATATACTGTTGAGAATGAGACCCCAGTTGCTATTTATTTTTTGTATTACAGTAATGCCCACCCAGATTACAGCTGCATTAGACACTAGGAAAAGTCATCCCTGCACAGAAGAGAATACATTCTAAACAGATGAGCTAGGCAAAAGTTAAGAGGAAGAAATTTATCAGCCCCCACATTATAGATAGAGACTCTTTCAGGTTTTAGTGTAATAGATAATTTGCAACTTTGTCTAAAGTATGTCCCCATGTGAAAGACTCTCAAATGTATTTTCAAAGAAGGGTGCAATGCTTGATCTTCCAGAAACCTACAGACATTCACTGTGCTTGCAAAAACCTGTGTGTGGCCACCTGCACAACACAAGGAATTGTACATGCCACTATACAGGATCTTCCACTTGGACACGTCTACATCAATAAAGGGTTTCCTGACTCAGTGGAGGGAAGGCGTCTTACAAGTTGATCCATTGTGTTCATCTTTAATAATCTTCCTTTTTACATGGGCTCAGCCAAATGAGTGATGCTGCCATCTATCAAACTGCAAAAATATGCTGCTCGGATTCCTTAGATGTTACTTCACTTTGGGAGGCTTGTATGCTCTGCTTTCTAGCTTCTGCTAAATACTTTCCCTCCCCCAGACAAATACTGACCTTGGCTTCCCTTTCAGCATCTATGATGCCCCCTGTCTGCTCCTGGAGCAATGCATATGCCCTTTGCAGAGCCTGGTATTCCTTTGTTAGCTGTCGAAATCGCAACTCTGATTCTTCCACTGCTAAACTCTGAAGAAACAGAATGAAGATGCTTTGTAAGAAGAAAACATAGGAGCACTGGAAAGGGAAGGAATGCCTAAAATGGGCTCTCATGGTTACTCCTGGCTATAGTTTCACCATGTCTTGACAACCAACGTTGATTTAAAATGGCTTTTAAACGCGTGTGTTGCAGTGGTAATAAGGGTGTTGAGTTTAGAAAGTTAAATGAAACGTAGTTTTATATTTTTGTAGATTATGGCCAATCTGGCCTTGTGCTAATTTTGCTTCAAATTTAGCTACTTTGGTCACAGATAGATAAGCCAGGATAAACAAAAACAATTCCACTACTCCTTGCCACACTGTGGGGAATTGGTGTCTTCTACAATGACTGGCATCTTTAATTTTTTGATACAAAGACTTGTTTGTGAGATTGACCATTGCTAGTGGATTTTCCTAGCAACTGGACAGTCCTATAGCGTCTCACTACTAAAATGCTTATCTTTTTAGTTTAGGTGATAAGGTTTCTGCTTTCAGTGCTGAAGGCTCTCAAGTACTATCTTTGATGATATTCAAGGTGTTTGTATGCAAAAGCAGCTGTGGCTCATTACGAAGGGAAACATGCTTCTGTGTGTTAATGAAAAGAGCCTAGTGACAATCTTGAGAACCCCTGGACTCAAAATCAAATGGGAGTGGATAGTGTTTTGGACATTCAAGGAGAACTGTAAATCAGGACTTGAGGAAATACACAAAGGAACAGACTCAGGGCTCTATTTCCTGCCTGATGGAAGTGACTGATGAGCTTGTTGACCAGACTATTATCAATTAAAAGTACTGTTTAGAAAAGCATCTGAGCTTAGCAATTACAGGCTATTTGGATATTCATTTATTTTTATTCATATCCAAAATTAGTAATCCTAGGTTCTAGATTTTCAAAATTCTTCAGGGTTTGGGTTTCAAGATCTCAGCATACAACTGAGGCAGCATTTACAGAAGAGCTCAGTACTGCTTGTGAATCTAAGCATCTGAAATATTTTGGGATTCTAATCACCTATGCTCTTGAAATTTGGCTCAAATTGTGGAGAGGAAAGGAAATCTTACTTCATCCAGGTCATCATCTGGTGTTGCTGGTGTTCTGTCTGTTCTAAATGAGGCCATGGATGAGGTTTCTGAGTCCATAGAATCATCATCATACCCGAAAACTGTATCCACTACATGTCTCTAAAGAAGGAAAAAAACACAGGGAGCTCTGAACACCTTCTGGAGGCAAATAGCATGGGTTTGCATAATGGGAAAATATAAGTCAGTTCCAACACACATCAGGAAGCACTTTAAAACTGTAAAGAGCCACAATACATGAAAGGATGACAACAGGCTTATATCCCCAACAGGAAATGTGTTTGGAAGGATTCAAGCACAGGTCCGAATCATCAGCTGGTATACACCACTTTACTCCAGTGAAGTCAACGGAGCTGTACTGACCGCACAATTTGAGAATCTGACTCATATCAGAAAATTAATGAGAACAGCATTTCCTTCTTCACCCCATTAGAAGGATATAAATTCATACATTGCTATCACATAACAATGCTCAGAACAAGACTATCAACATTTAGGCCCATGAGGATAGGGTCCGATTAAATACCTGTTGTGCAAAAAAGAGACAATGGGCATAATTCTTCTCTTCCTGACACTTGTGTATATTTGGGAAAGGCTTTACACTAACAAAACTAATATAAAGGAAAGGAGAATTAGACTTCCTATTAGTTTTCACTACTACAGTAAAGACTGACTTATAGAGAATGTTTTTAACTATACGTGTTCTGGATGTGTAGTGTCTAATATCCCACTGTTTCACTGAATTAATGACTCCAAAGAAACATTCTGAGTTATATCCTAAGATTGCAGAGCTGCTTAACCAGCAGGTTTGGGTTTCAGGACACAGATTTCAGCATTTAGGACTTGGCACAAAGCATGGTAGTGGTAAAGACAGACTGATCAATGAGTATTTAAGATGCACTTTCAGTAGAGCATTTTTCTTCTTTTAATGCTGTCAGATTACAGCCTTCTAATGAATTCCCAGAATTTGAGTCATGCAGAAGGATGAACTGAAGATGCCAAGAAATTCTGGTGCACATATATTTTTCAGAAATGAAGATCACTCCTCTATCCTCCTGCACGGGATAATTTTTGGTTTATTTATGTAGAAATAAAGTTAAATATGGACATACGGGGCACACCTACACAAGATGTTTTACTGTACAGCAGAATCATTTGCTGTGCAGTAAAGCATCACTGTCCACACATGCACAGCAATTAGGGCACAGCAGACTAATTTACTGTGCTGCCAGACCGTCCTGTCAGATACAAGCTGTATCTGGCAGCGTAGTAAATTATTATGCTTAAACGCAAATGTAGACAGTGACATTGGGATTAGTTTATTCCAGCTCAAATTGGTGGGTCAGGGTGTTCTAAAATATGCCAAGGGACTAGACTAGACTAGACAAGACCCAGCATCAGGGCAACATAACAGTGGCCTAAGTCCTTTGCATGTATCCACAGAGCTGAGTTATTAACTGAGTGCTGCTCAGCCGCATCTCAAGATCTAGGCCAGAGATTTCAGTTTGTAAAAATGAGAGTCAACGTGACTTTTACTTCAATAAGGATGTCAGGATTGGCCCTGAAGGCTTAGGATAAACTGACAGAAGCAAGTAGAGTGGAGAGTCTCTAGGGACATAGATAAATCTCTACAGGCCTTGATAATGGTATTTATGGAAAAGATGGTGGCAAGTAAATCTAATATGATCTATAAAGGAAAAAAACCCGCCACTAAAAACAAAATGGGCATTTTCAAATAAATCTTGGAGAAATAGGGATTGAAAACATTTTCCTGAAGAAACTGAAACTCTTATGAGCCCCACTGCTGAGAGTGTTCAAAGGTGTTGTTGAGTTGCAATAATCATGATATATTATCCTGAAAAGCACACTGGCATTACTATATAATAACCTACTATTCCTCTTACCTTAATGGGCTTTGAACTTCTTTTATGTTTCCTTCGACGAATAAGCTTTTCCCTGTCCTGAGAAATAAGGTTAATGGTTAGATGCAAAGTTTCTAGATGCAGACATAAACACTCAGATACACAGTCATGCGGTGAATCAGTGTAGTTCCACTGACTCCAAATAACTCACGTTCATTTGGGAAAATGGATGATCCATATCAATGTGCATCAACCAGAAAACTGTTCTCTAAGGCCTTGTCTGAAAAGAGGTCCTAGATACTTGTCTCGTTGCCACGTGTATTTATTAAACAATAGGGCTTGATCAATCTTCCATTGAAATAAATGGAAGTCTTTGCTTTGGGAGTTCGCTGGGGCCCAGCAGGCTTGAAATTTACTATTTGCCCTGTCTGCAGATGTGCTACTTACGTATCTCTTCTTTTGAAATGATTAGTCTATGTTATTGATTACTTCACATCTGTGTCCCAAGTAGGAAAGAGGTCTTAGAAGACTTCTTTAGAATGTTTCTTTCATATTATTACGCAAATATATTTGAAAGGTACATTTCACATTAAGAGCTGCAACCAAATTACTAGTGAAAAGTTGTCTAACAACATTGGATCCTGTGTCACACTGGAGAATAGTATCGTTTGTATTTTTCTTAAGGGGATTCTAATATCTGCTCTCCTCAATGTACCCAAGATTCAAACATACAGTGTTACAGACAGGGCTGAACAGTGAAAGGGAGAACGCTTTCCTTTGCTAGGACTCCTGTTCTATCTGTTAGAACCAGTCTTGCCACAGTGGGCACAAAGAGCGTGTTTACATGTGCTCCGGGAGTGGAGGTGGCACTTTAATTAGAGTGGCTCTGACAGCCACTCTAATTAAAGCGCCACCAGCGTCTCATGTATCAGCATCTCTGCACTTCAAAAAGGTGGCAGGGGTGCTGAAGGTCATCCTACGAGCTATAGTTAAAGCGCCCCACCTGCCATTTTGAAGTGTGGGGACGCTGATACATGAGACGCGGAGGCTGCTGGAGCACACTAATTGCACACTCCAGCAGACTTGATTGAGTCTGCTCCGGCACACTGTAATTACAGCGTGTCGGAGCAGCCTCCCGGCATGTCTCCAGACACCCAAAGC